CACTTTCTGTCTCTCTGTCTCTCTCTCTCTCTCTCTTTCTGGCGAGCACACACTCCCTATAGCAAAAACCTCTCCCAAAAAAAAGAAAAAAAAAAGAGAGAGAGAGGCAAAATAACCTCAAATACCTTAATACCTTTAAGTCGTAGTACATTAAAAAATATTCATGATAATAACCCTGAGTCATCAAAGAAATATTAAACGTATTCATTTTTTTCTGTTTGAAAAGGCAGGGCTGTGTAATCTGTTTAAGAAGATTATCATCCAAAATGGTTAAAATTAAAATGTCCTATTTCTTAAGTAAAATAAGAAAAAAAAATCTTAGATTTTTCAGGTATCTGAAAAAAAATCTCTTTTAATGTGGAACACCACATTCCTTATGATAGAAGATACTCATTATGTATAATATATATTTTTAAAAGAACTGTTTAATTTTATTCATCATTATTTTTAAAGAATTATTTTGTTTAATTGTATTCATTATCTTTATTATTATTTTAATTTGACCAGAGAGACACAGAGGCAAAGAGGGGGATAGTGAGAAAATAATAAAAACAATAATAATAAAAATAATAATAATAAACTAATAATAATTGAACCACAGTCAGCTATGTGGCTGTCCCATGCTCCGAACAACTGTGCCACCTGCTGGCCCCATTATTTTTTTAATTTGACCAGAGAGAAACAGAGAGAGAGGGAAAGCGAGAAAGCAAACCACCAGGTCTGGGACTTGAACTGTGGTCAGCCATAAGGAAGTCCAGTGCCTTAACACCATTCTACCTCTTTTTATTTTTTCTTAATTGCCAGAAGGCACTTATATTTGCAAAGAGAGAGAGAAAACATCTTCTCTCTACAAACCTCCACTTCTTGCTCGTGTCAGGATTTTGAGAATGCCCTGCTGGTGGGCAGGGACTCAACTCTCTGTTGGCCATGTGGGATCTGGTTCCCAATGCACAGTGCTTAACCCCTGCACGAAGGGCCAACCCCATATTGAGCTTCTTATGTAATCAATAACACAGTTCCTCAAGTATTATAGAAAGGAAAGTCAAAACGCTAAAGTTTTAGGCTCCTAGCTTGACATCTAAATGTTTCACGAACCTGTTGGGTCAATCTCAGACAGTTCCCTGTCTCTATAATAGCGACTATCAGGATGTTGTCCCCAGCCCAGGGCCATCATCATCACCTGGGTATGTGAATTTCTAGTTCCAGACTTACCAAGTCGGAAACTCTAGGGGTAGATCTGGAAGCCTGTGTTTTAACAGATCTTCACTGATTTACCAAGGTTTGAAAACTACTGCTCTCAATAATGGCAGAATGGTAAATATTTATGATCTTGAGTTTTGTTTTACCATTTATAATTATGTCCAAATCTGCATATATTAGCTTACATATGATTTCTGTCTCACTGTACATTGTTCTTATGTCCAAATCTGCATATATTAGCTTACATACGATTTCTGTCTCACTGTGATGCTAAAAAGATCATTTTGACAATATTTGCAAGGCTCTCCTACATGTTAAAATTGTAATTCAATTTTGTTCACAGACAAATTTGAAGGTAATCTCAAATCACAGTACTTCTGGAGACCCAAAAGAGTGGAACTTAGTTTTGGAATTCACCATTTTGCAGGAAAGGTAAGAACTCAAGAATTATGACTCCGTTTCTTTTCAGCCTCTATTGAATAAAAGAGAGAGACATGAAAGTTGTGGCCTTAAATACTCGTGGGTGGTTCTCACGAGGTAGCCGTCTGCTTCCGCTCCCGTCTGGCCCTAATTCTGCCCTCCAACGTCCTCCAGTCCATTTCCACTGATGTGGAGGCCACTCCCTGGCCAGGTCATGCACTTCTAGAATCTAGCGTAAAAAAGTAAAGACAAAAAAAGCAAAAAATTATTTTCTTCATTCAACAAACATGAAGTTATAGTCTTACTAGAGGAAGTTTTTAAGAAACGAAGGAAAATCAGTAAAGAAAAGAAACAAGACTTAAAGAGTTCATGTTTCTGATCAGAATATCTGACTTTGGATTAGATTAACTGGCAGTAATTAACTTTTTTCCTTCATCTCACCATAGCTAAGAAACTTTTACATAAACTACCTTTTTCAGTCTTCAGATGCTTTTCTTTCTACTGAAGCCTTTGTTCCTCCTTCCTCCCAGCAAGAGAAAGTGTCAGGCTGGAAGTTCGGTCAGAACGGAGCTAACCCAGAGAGACGGAACTGGCCAGTAGACTTTTACTCAGTTGCAGAAAGTAATCTTTATGCATTGAAGAGACATTATTTCCATGCCAGATATGTCCAATACCTAGAGAGTGCTTTCCTTCTCTCCTTCTGTGGAGAATAATGGGCCATGTCTCACAAATATGTTATAAATATTGAGGTAATAAGATACTCAAATTTTATGCATGAAAAGAGAAATACATTAAAAAGTAAAATAACACAGAACTCTAGCATTCTAATCCACTTTGCAGCATCCATATGCCAGTAAACATTCCACATACGTTTTTTAGAATTATTTGATTCAACTTTATTATTACTTTTTTCAAGAATTATTTATTTTGGGACCAGAGTTAGCATAATGGCTATATCGCTGGACTCCCACGTAGTCGATCACGGTTCGAGTCCCGGACCCGGTGGCTTAAACTCACACCGGACACGTGTGTGTGCATGCCCAAGATCCCGAGAGGAGAATGGAGGAGAAGGGATTGTGGCGTGGCCATCCACCCTGGGGGGTGACTTCTCACTTTCTATCTCTTTGTCTCTCTCTGTCTGGCAAACGCACATGCCCTATAGCAAAAATCTCTCCAAAAAAAAAAGAATTATTTATTTTAAATTTTATTTATTCATTCTTTTTATTTTTAATTTTGACCAGAAAGAGACACAGAGAGAGAGAGAGAGAGACAGAGAAAGTGAGAAAGCAAGGCACCAGGTCCGGGACTCAAACCATGGTTGGCCATGTGGGAGTGTCCATCACCTTAACTACCACACCACCTGCTGGTCCCATCATTATTATTATTTTTAATATTTCCAGAGAGAGACACAGTGAGAGAGAGAGAGAGAAGGTAGAGAAAGTGAGAAAGCAAGCCTCAAGGTCCAGAACTCAAACCACGGTCAGCCATGTGAGGGTCCAGCGCCCCTAATCACCACACCTCCTGCCAGCCCCTAATTTTTTATTTTTAGATTTTATATAACTTTATTTATTATTATTATTAATGTTTTCAGAGAGAGACACAGTGCGAGAGGAAAGAGAGGGAAAGCATTCCACATACTTTTGTCATTAAAAAGTATACCTATGGGGCCAGCAGGTGGCATGGTGGTTAAGGTGATGGACTCTCTGTTAGCTGACCACGGTTTAAGTCCCAGACATGGCAGCTTGCAAATCACTCCGGATGCGTGTACATGTATGCCAAAAATCCTTAGAGGAGAATGGAGGAGAAAAGATCACGGCATGGCCATTCTCCCTGGGGCAGTGCTTCCTCACTCTCCCTCTCACTGTCTCTCTCTGGTAAGCGCACACATCCTATGGTGAAAACCTAAAAAAGAATTATAAAAAGTATACCTTAAATCATTACAGTTATAACCTCTATCATGACATTAAGCATATGATTTTTCAAATAAGCCTCTTTGAACCATCCATTAAGAATTTCCTATAATGGGAGTTAGCAGGCAGTGAAGTAATTAAGGCACTAGACTCCCACATGGCTGACTGCAGTTAGAGTCCCAGATCCCACGACTTGAAAGTTACAATGGGTGCATGGGCTTGCATGCCCAAAATCCCAAGAGGAGAATGGAGGAGAAGGGATTGTGGTGTGGCCATCCTCTCGGGGGTAATTTCTCACTTTCCCTCTTTGTCTCTCCAGTGAGTGCACATACCCTGTTAGCAAAAATCTCTCCAAAAAAAAAATAATAATAATAATTTCCTATGATCATTTTATGTAGTTGTTTTTTAACAACTCATCTGCTCAGGTTGCTGTAACAAAAATGCCATAGGCTGGATCTCTTAAACAATAGCAACTTATTTTCTTACAATTCTGGAGACTGAAGTCCAAGGTCAAGCTGTCCCTGGCAGGACTGGTATCGGCTGAAGGCTCTGTTCCCGACTTGCAGACAGCCGCCTTCTCACTGTGCCCTTACATGGCCTTTCCTCTGTGTGCACATGGAGAGAGCGAGCTATCTGTGAAGTCTTTTCCTGCTCTTATAAGGGCATATGCCCTATTGGATTAGGGCCCCACCCTTATGACCTGTTTTAACGTTAATTACATCCTTAAAGACCCTATTTCTAAATACAGTTACAGTGGCAACTAGACCTTCAACCTATGAAATTTGGAGGAATACAAGTCAATCTGTAACAACCACCTTATTGGATCATCCTACAAAAATCTCTGTATTATATTCAACTTTTAAAAGCCTTAAAAATTATTTAGAAGTATCAGGAACTCAAGTACCCACAGTGTATTTAAAACACACTACTACTAAGATAAAAATTTGTCATGGCCAACCCAATGCAGGGGTGTCAGTTGTCACAGTGATGGGAATGCTTTGGTGGCCCCAGTGAGCTTCCTTCATGCTCTTGCCTCATCCCTCCAAATAGAGAAAATAAATATACCGCATTCTCTATAATTTAAGAGGGCTAGCAAGTGGCATGATGATTAAGGCATTGGACTCCCATATGCCTAACTGCAGTTAGAGTTCCTGACCTGGCAGCTTACTTTCTCACTCTCTACCTCTCTGCCTTTCTCTCGCTCTCTCGCTCTCTCGTAAGCACTTGTACCCTGTAGTCAATTTTTAATAATAATGATAGGTAAAATTAAGTAAATAACAAAAGAAAGGGGTTACCTGATAAGTCTTCCCTCTGTGGCTCAGCACAGTCAACTCTGAATAAGTATCATTCAGTGAAGAAGAAGATGATGATGACGGCAGTGAAACTGTGATCGTTATGATAGCATGCTTTATTCTCAGGTCCTCTACAGTGCAAATGGGTTCTTGGCTAAAAACAGAGACACTCTTCCAACTGATATCGTGCTCCTTTTGAGATCATCAGAAAACAGTATAATTCGGCAGCTGGTCAACCACCCTCTGACAAAAACAGGTAAGGCAGTTTCCTTTAACTGATTAGCTTCCTCAGGTCCAATCGAGTAGTTTCTGTCTCTGATTTTTCATTAATATAATTCTTGATTTTTTTTCATGTCAGCTTATTTTCAACTTACTGTTTATTTGTTAATAACCCTCTACCCCAAATAATTTGATTAAAATATAAAAAACTAGTTTTTCATTAAAGAAAAGCATTTGAAGATCTCACTAGAAACTATGAGGGTGTGCTAGCTACTCACTCCTGATGGCTTGAAAAACACAATGGGAGCCTGTATGTGCATACCCAAAATGCAGAGAGGAAATCAAGGAGAAGGGATTGTGGTATGGCCATCCCCTCTGAGGGTGATTTCTCACTTTCCCTCTGTCTCTCTCCAGTGATTGCCCGTGCCCCATAACAAAAGTCTAAAAAAAAGAAATCCCATATCATGATACTAACCCTCTAACAGAATGGTTAAGGGATCAGGATCAATCCCATATGACTGACTGCCATTTAAATCTTAGCCCCAGTGTCTTGCTGGGTGCATGTGTGTGCATGCCCCAAATCCAACAGGATGGAGAAATGGAATACAAAGCATTCCAATATGACTATGCCCCAGTGGGGGATGCTTTCTCCCTTCTCTCTCTCTCTCTGTCTTTTTCTCTTTCTTCCTCTCTCTCTGGTAAGTGCATGTACCCTCTGACAATAACATAGTGTAATGTACAATTTAAAGAAGATGGATATGTGTATATCTTGATTTGATTATTATACACTGTACACATGCCTTTAAAAATCATATTTCAACCCACCAAGATATATATTGATTATATATAAACTCGATCAGGGGCCAGCCCTTGGCACTGATGGTTAAGATAGCTAAATCCCACATGGCCAACTGTGCAATTCAAGTCCCAGACCCACGAGCTTGAAATACACACTAGGCGTGAATGCTTGCTTGTCCAAGAGGG